ATCGATTCGGACATAAAAAGCTTTTCAGCAGTTCTTCTCGGAACCCAAAACCTGCCTAGTGAAGCGTTATGTCTGTTTGCCTGCCCACATTGAATCACGCATTCAAGTGTGTATGATTGCATTGATCAAGTGTCTAACACGTCTACATTGATCTCCAATCAGGAAATTATTTAACTATATTTATTTCTCGAAACATTTTATTTTATATACCGCAATCGCCAGATCACATTCCAATGTTGAGGCGTCCCGAGACAAGGGCTTTGCGAAATGTGGGTGGATAAGGGCGCAACCACCCCCCGCGCAATCTTCAAAGGAAGCCAACATCTTCATTGTTTTGTAAAATGGGATTAAAATTAGGACTTCGCCGGGACGCAGGTTTTGCTTGTCACGGTCCTGCCTACAATCAGTTTTTTCCCTCACATATTGAGAAAAGGTTGCTGAAAAGTTAATGTTGTGGAAATAAAAATACGCCCCATCACTTTTAACTATGAACACATTTATAATGTATGGTGATATAAATACTATTTTTAAAATACATTTAAAAAAAAAAAAATTGAAGTTCTTAAATAACTCCTGGAATATTCTAAAATGAAGTCTGAGCAGGGGTTGCAGCCCGTAAGTTGAAAACAACTGCCTTTTGAGATATGTCATTTTCTAAACTTGGTTAGGTCTAAATGATTGAAACAGTTCATATTTAGTTTTGTTTCCCAATAAGTTTATTTTGTTTATTATAGAAAAATCCATGTCAATGTTGAATAATTTGTATATAGATTTTTGTTTTAAAGTTGTTTCATTGGTCTTTAAATCATTGTGTTTTTGTTTTTGTGTCAGGTGCTAGCTTGAAGTTTAGCTAAAAGAAACTGGGCACCAAATACAATATTTACAAACGTTTTAATACATATGGCTTTTTATATGAAAAAAATTTTAACTTTGATTCGTACTTTAGCGAAATGTTCTTGACAGGGCACGAAATTTATTTGTACCCTGATACGCTTGTGAATTTTTCTTTTTCCATATGTAAACACAAGTGACGCAGGCTCCATTTGACAAATTCTAAATTTCATGGTTTGTGGGCGCAGAAAGAGAAAAATCGTTCACCGTATGTTTCAGTGCGTATCTTAGGAACTGAAAGAATTCACCTCAGTTGTGCCCTGAAAGATTTTGGAGACTTCAGAGGATGCTGAGACAACTAAATGTGGCACTTGGCTTATCGGGAATACGTGTCTTAATTATATTGCTATTTCTTTTATTTATAGTGTTTTCAAACTCTGAAATAGAAAAATGTAAATAAAGTATAGATTAAATTGAAAGCTACTGGTACATCCCAAATTCTTACAACTTCTCAGGAAAATAAACGTTTAAAAAAAATGGAAAAGAATTAGTCTCTTATTTTAATACACACACACACTGACTTTAATTTGTTTTTAAAAAAAAATCAATTTGATACATTTAATGGGCATGTCAATAAACCTAAACATATATCATATGTCAAAATTTTAGCGGTCAATGGTTTCTTTGTTGATTAACGTATATTATGCAGTCACTTTGACTAGATGAAAATAAAAATCATCTCATTAAAAAGTGATGAAGGAATTTAATAAATCACCACTTTATTTCTTTTTATTTTGCCGAAAAAAACAAGACTATATGAATTTTTGTTTGTACAGGCTTATACTAATCTTACGAAGCATACACGTTGACATCAGAGGAATAATAACAGGATAATTTCTGAAACCCAAAACAACCAATAGGCACTCTCTACAACCTACCCGTTCAGTATCTTGAATACGTTGATGACATAGCAGTGTTAAGGAAAAGTCGTAAGACGTATGAAAAGATTTTATTGATTTTATTTAACATCTGTTTAAAGAAGCTCCTAGTTAACACTTATAGATACAAAAACAACAAGTGTCTTTGGACATTTGATCAGAAAAAACAACAAGTGTCATTGGACATTTGATCAGAAAAAACAACAAGTGTCATTGGACATTTGATCAGAAAAAACAACAAGTGTCATTGGACATTTGATCAGAAAAAAAACACGGGTGTCTTTTGAAATTTGATCAGAAAAAACAACAAGTGTCATTGGACATTTGATCAGAAAAAATAAGAAGTGTCATTGGACATTTGATCAGAAAAAATAACAAGTGTCATTGGACATTTGATCAGAAAAACAACAAGTGTCATTGGACATTTGATCAGAAAAAACAAGTGTCATTGGACATTTGATTTAAAAAAACACGGGTGTCTTTGGAAATGTGATCAGAAAAAACAACAAGTGTCATTGGATATTTGATCAGAAAAAACAACAAGTGTCATTGGATATTTGATCAGAAAAAACAACATGTGTCATTGGACATTTGATCAGAAAAAAACACGGGTGTCATTGGACATTTGATCAGAAAAAAACACGGGTTTCATTGGACATTTGATCAGAAAAAACAACAAGTGTCTTTGGACATTTGATCAGGAAAAATAACAACAACAGGTGAAATCATTGATTTGATGAAATTTGATAAAATGACAGATATTCCCCCCCTCCCCCCCCCCCTTAAAAAAAAATTTTAAAAAGAAAGAAATTTTTAGACATACAATTTATTCGCTTTCATTAAGATCCGTACCACTGGATGTTGCATTGCAGCCCATGTTATATTTTTATGAGCCTGTAGTTTTGTTCATTTTACTTTTGTACAATTTGACTGAATTTCCTTTTTAGTTTTGCCCCCTCCCCCCCAAAACCCCCACCCCACAAAATACATGGTCATTAAAAAGGCATTGTCTCAAAATTCGATTAGAATTGTATGTCATGTAAGGTATGTTGCTTTCCCAGCCCCCCTCCCCCAAAACCGATCATTATAGTAGATAGTGTCAAAGTGTCAGTAAAGTATTTGTGCGTGTGTGTGTGGAGGCAGCCATTCGCCAAGGAGACTGACATTGAAAAGATGATACGTTAAGCTCGGAAGATGAGAAAACATTGTTTTGGCGGGACAGGAAACTATAGGGAAACTGTTACGGCTATGGATTGGTCTTCAAAATATTTGTTTCTGACATTGGATCGGTCTTCGAACAACTGACATTACTTACAGTGGATAGGTCTCCAAGCAATTGATATGTGTGACTATGGGTAGGTCTTCAAGCAATTGATATATGTGATTATGGATAGGTCTTCAAAAAATGCATATATCTGACTATGGGAAGGTCTTCAAACAATTGATAGATCTGACTATGGATTGGTCTTCAAAATATTTGTTTCTGACATTGGATCGGTCTTCGAACAACTGACATTACTTACAGTGGATAGGTCTCCAAGCAATTGATATATGTGACTATGGGTAGGTCTTCAAGCAATTCATATATCTGACTATGGATTGGTCTTCAAACAATTGATATAGCTATGTGTTTTTACGACTTATCCTTCCATCATTGTCTAACACAGCGCCATTTATTACAATGAGGAGTTTCCTCTAACGTAATTAAAGCAGGTGCTCATCTTGATTGTTTGAGGGACCAAGTACATCTCTACTGGTTAATAAAGGCATACCCTTTGGGTGCTTGTTGTTGCGCACACTTACAATTTTTAAAAAATCATAAAACTACACAAAGTAGTAGTTATGGCTTCTACTCTCGACAGACAAGCCAAATGGCTACTGTAATTACTCTTATTTTTAGGCTAATATCAGTCGTTTTGAATTAATTTTTAAAAATGCGAATATTTAATTTTAAAAAAAAATTTTTTTAGAAATACAAATCTATATTAAAATTATAATTGCTGTTGTAGAGTGTCGCTTGACTACCAATGAACTTTATCAAACTGAATGTCTAATTTATTTATTTTTTTCCACTTCACTTTAATGTTGTGTAGGACTAAAAAGTAAAGCAATCACTAGGTAGTCGTTGGCGACGGCCGAGATAAAAACCCAGTTAAAACAACTTTACACTGCAATACCTTGTACTAGGTTAAGTATGGCTAATTACAACAAACACTGATAAAACCCAGTCCAAACAACTTTACACTGCTACTACAGTAAACACTCAAACTATTTATTTTAGTTAGACTATGGTCACATACATTCTGAATTACTCCTTCCTTTCATCCCTATCAGTGCTTACATACCAGTTCAGCCTGGGTGACTAATCCCAACATACAAAATCGAATTTTATTTCCCCCACCGAAAATATTATTTACATATATTTTAAAAAAAAATTAAATTATAACTTTTATCTTAATTAATACAATCAAAACTCTAGAGGAATTTTCATTAAAGTACATTTAGATCTCAAGAGAATTTAAATAAAAGAAGAAATGAATACAGGAAAGTAGAGAGTTCCATTTACAAGGGAAAGATCCAGAATACAATCTTTAAAATAAACATGAACAATTAAACAAGCCTATAAGAAATAATTTTTTAAAATTCTTTTTAATTTTTAAAAGACACACACCAAGCTTGTCCATTTTTTTTTGGTCCACATTGGTCAAGGAACCCATTGCGTATTGCGGGGTCAAAAAAGCTTATTGCTTTCTTGAAATTTTAGGAAAATAATCTGGATATATTTAATTCAAGTGAGAATGCTCTTCAATACATTTGTAAAAAGTTATAAAATGGGCTCAATCCGCGTGGTTAAAATACACAATCTGCCAAAACACTCTGCCATAACACACTGCCATAACACACAGTAATAACACACTGTCACAACACACTGCCATAATAGATTCGTGAGGATATTTGAAATTGATTTCAACTGCATTATTTTATTTTGAGACTGTGTCCGGAAAAAAAAAATATTTTTCTATAAAGAAAAAAAAAATCTATAGATTTAAAACTTTTTGCTCGTAATATTTATTTCATCCGCATCAAATTTAATTTCTCATTTAAATTTTTTTTAGATTTCAAGTATATTTCATTAATAATTATTTGTTTCCCCTTTTCTTTTAAAGTAAGCAACCCTGATCAAGCGGATTACCTTCTATTTTGTCTATGGAACTTTATGAGTTTAACAATAACTGACCTGAAGTTTTTATTTAAGAAGATGTACACAAGAAAGTGACTAGCGCTGTCCACGAAAGAAAACATGATTATTATCTCCCCCATGAGACGGTTTTCATTCTTGTAGAACGTTTTAAACAGGAAAATGAACTCGTTCGTGTGACAGAGGCAGAACAGAACACACAGGACAATCAACGTTTTGGAGAGCCGCAGGGAGTGGGTCCCCCTCAGAGACGAAGTCAGGCGTCTCCTTTTCTTGAGGATGAACCTCAGCTTCACGCTCATCGTGACCGTGCCGAGGACGATAACAGTGACGGGAATGATTCCGCACAGCCAATCGGCGACCAGTTCAATGTTATTCAAAAGATCGTTGTCTTCAAAGGACAGCAGCAGTCCGTATGTGTCCACGTCGTCGAAATAGATTACTCGAGCTTTGCAAGCTCTTATGCTCAATACGAGATGTGGCAGCCAGAGCAGGTGCACGAATATAACCACGGCTAAAGTCCTCTTCAGCGTGATGATGCTTTTAATTCTCATTGGAAAAAATATGACAACAAGTCTCTCCAGGGTAATTAGCACGCAGATTGACGACGTGACTTGATTTCCGTACCGGCTTTGAAAGAAAATGAAAGTCGTCGCGTGGAAGCAGAAATACGCGAACCGAGATTTCCCCGGCTCGTATTCCCACGCGATGTAATACCTTTGCGGTATCATCTTGTTGAACTGCCGCAGCAAAGAGAAGATATCGATGGTGGGCAGTAAGCAGCTGATGCTGGAAATCGCCAGTGCCAGCAGCAGGATGTTCGTGGGCTTCTCCAGTCCGCTGCGTCTTAGGATTACCCCGGTGACGACATTTCCTGCTATTCCCAGAAAGCCTAAAACGGGATACACAAAAACATCACAACTGATTGAGAAGGCATGCGAGACGTATCGCATGTGCTCGTCATAACTGCGCCTGAAGCGCTTGGTGAAAGTGTCTCTCCTTGTTCGTGGGCGTAGAGGAGTCGTTATGTTGGGCTGTCTGAAGTTAAAAGCTACAAGAAATGAAAGCAGGAAAGAGATCATTAACTGGATTCATTTGATCATTTGATGTATTTATTTTTCTGATATGACCTACTTCAGCTAACGAGAGGAACTATAGCATTTTAAATTTTAGGCAGTCTAATTCATCATCATTAGATTTTCTTCTTCTAAAAAACCCACTCCTGTGCAGTTAGTTACCATATAGACACGAAATAGTCGAAAGATTTCACATTAGGGAAAGCAATATGGATTTGTTCATTGTAATAAGTTGATGAGACAGAATGTGTTCTTTTGTACGCCTATGTTTTAAAATACTTTAATTAACTTCGCTTAGGTCCGTGGGTGGTTTGCTATGCTGACGGGAAGGCAAAATCTTTGGATGGCATTATTGACCCAATTCCCGTCAAACTTTCGAGCTGAAATTTTGGCACATATACTCATCTCCAATGACAAAACATTATATCCCCTAAACATTTTTCTGTTTTTCAAGGGGAAGATAAAATGAAATTCCCGATAACTTTATTTACGAAGATAAAAAAAAAAGAAATATCGCCAGTGCGTTTAGTACGTAGTATTTTCTTTTGCTTTTCTGTAAATCTGCGGTATAAAAGTGGGTGGGTCATTAACATCGTAATATAGTTCAGGGCAGTGAAACAAATGTGTGGTTGCTAGCCTTGGGGGGTGGGGGGTGGGGCGGGAAGCACTAACTGGAATTCTTAGGAAAGGCGTTACTTGAACTCGTGTGTTGTCTAATATTCAGCTTCCAAATTTCCCAATATAACATTTCTATAAAGGATTTATAAGAGAAAACATGTTTTTAGGGGTTGCTTAATTTTTAATTAAGTCCTCTTTATTAACTTCCCTTTTGTGTGTTCTGGGCAAAAGCCTTCAGTTGGGCTAAGTGACCCACTTCCCGTCAACATGTCGATCGGAAACTTTAAAAATAGACCTGATACCAATCACAACACATTTTTTAAAATTCTCACCCCCCCACCCTCCCCCCCCCATCCTCAACCCTGACCCACAAAAGTCAGTTTTCCCTATTGTTCAAGGGGAAGATGAAGGAAATATGATGACACTGATTTCACGAAATAAAATTCCAAACAAATGCGCGACTTCAGTTGGGCTAAGTGACCCACTTCCCGTCAACATGTCGATCGGAAACTTTAAAAATAGACCTGATACCAATCACAACACATTTTTTAAAATTCTCCCCCCCCCACCCTCCCCCCCCCCATCCTCAACCCTGACCCACAAAAGTCAGTTTTCCCTATTGTTCAAGGGGAAGATGAAGGAAATATGATGACACTGATTTCACGAAATAAAATTCCAAACAAATGCGCGACTATGATTATTTTTTATTTTTTTTTTTAAATCTCGCAAGTACGTTTTTGCGTTATATTTTAATTTGGTTTTGTTTTTTTCTGAAATTAGTTGGTGAAAAATGTAAGCAGTGTAAAAACGGGTTTGATATGAGAATATGAATGTAAAATAAAATATTACAAAATGCGTATAAATGATTTATACGAAAATTTTTGTTTTTAGGGGCTGTTTGAATTAACGTAATCAGCTGAAAACACTGCTGAATTTATAGATTAGAAGCTGTCTGATTAGAAGGGTGTACACTCTTTCTTGCAGAATCGGAGTTTCATAATAAAAAAACGTTCATTTTGGACAAGTGAAATACATTTATTTTAAATTAGGAAATGAGTTAAACAAAGTATGGTCAAACCTGAGAAAAAAAAGCAACGCAACAAAACAAGCAACGTGTCGGCAGGAAGTCTTCGTCACCAAAGAAAATTCAGGAAAAAAAAAGAATTACATATTTTTTTTTTTTTAAATAAATAGTACTTAGCCGAGAAGAAGCATCCGAGATGGCAATATTGTATGTGTGCATCTTGACATTTATCAGCTGCCTTTCCATAACCCATCCTGGGAAGAAATTGTTAAGTTTGAAGGATAAAATCGAACAATTATTCTCTTGAACTACACACGTTCTTATTGCCAAAAGAGAACAGCTGGGTGTGTTTAAACCCGATTCGCATAGATTTTATTCCCCAGCGAAAGCTTAGTTGCAAGTTACACAGCCAAAAAAAACAAAGTTTTATCGTATAAATCATTGATAGAATGTCACATCGATCAATGGGGCATGGGCTAACAAAAAAAAATTGGACAAAACATGCATAAAAGTAACGCAGTTCATAAGAATCCCCAAATTACTGCTGATGTTTGCCACGAAGACGCGTTGCTGTTGACAACACATTCCATTAAATTTCCAGCCCCAAACCTTCACAAATCAGTTTTTGCCTGTTTTTCAAGTGAAGATGGAGGTCACGACCCACTACGCTGGCTCAGAATGCGAACGGGTGTTGAGAGATAGGCCAAAAGGGAATACCAGGACGTTTTATGAATATCTTAATGAGTTTAGCCAGACTGTATGCTTGCATTTCCTAACAACAGATTACAGCCAATGAAGGACAAAACTTTTCAGCTTGCGAAATTTTTTTTTTAAAAACTGATCAGTGGGGCGGGTGGTGTGTGAAAAGACAGTTATGACGTCATTAAAAATTCAAAATAGTTCAAAGCCCAAATACAGCAAACAACGTTAAATCAAGCGATTAAATTTAAGCGGCACATGGAATAATCTTTTCAATTCGTTGCTACTTGCGTTTTTTCATTAGTTGTGTGCACCCTGTCGAATCTACCAGCCATGTTGGTCAAATTTACACAAGACCGTCCTTAGCATATTTTTGTTAAATGAACTAAAGCTCGGTGATAAAATATTAATAATTAAACTCTAGACAGACATACATTCTTCAGTCTGATGTTTCAGTCTGTTTTTTTATATATAATAAGAAAACGTGTCCCTTGGTAAAAAAAGTCTTCCTATTTATACGCATCTAACAACCTTCTGTAACTATTGTCACCGGTCTAATCTACTAACTAACTAACTTACTTAAGAAAATCAGAGAACACCGAGCCGAGGCTCATATGGTCCTTCTCAACGCACCACACCGCAAACCAAACCGGCCTTCAACCACTCCCTCTGTGGTCTTTATTCCGATCGGTCTTAGGGGCGGAACGCCCCTGGCGTGCCGCTTTGCGGCTCTATCGGTCGAATCTACTCAAAAGCTCAAACATCCAGCCTTTTTTTTAAGCCAGCCACATTTGAGCCTCCAACGTCTCAAATTTTCAGGCTCCCTGGCTTGCAATGGACCTGTAGGGAAATGTGATCCTTTGTTTAAGCATGTCCCGTTTTCACTAACTTTAATGAGATCTTCTCGTAGTTATAAATAAACGTTTTGAAGAGACAATGTCTAATATCTCTTTATGATTTGAAGAGATTGCTATTGTGGCCTTTTAAAGAGGAAAAACAATCGCGTAACCTTAAATACATTAATATATTTTGTCTTCATGCTAAAAAATAAAACAGTTGTTCATGTAATATTGAGCTCAGAGTGCAATTATTTTATTATGAAGCAGTGTTTCCCAACCTTTTCTTTCTGTGCCATTCCCCACCAAAGCCTTGATAAAACTCTTGTGCCCCCCGTGTCTCAAATACATAATTTTTAATTTTCCAAAAATAGGGTTGTTCACGGAAGAAACTTAAATGATTGTGACAACATGCTTAATGAGCTCTTCTTTTAAATTGAGACTTTAACGATTCTCCTTTTAAAGTACAAGCTCACTCACAGGTAGATGGTTATTTTTTTCATAGTCTAGACAATTCATTTTTTCGAATACCCCCCCCCCAACTAGATAATCAATTTGCCCCCTCCCCTGTGGGACTTTGGCCCCCACGTTGGGAAACATGGTTATGAAGCATTTAATAAATTTTAGATTATTATAAATGTAGAATTGTTGTGTTTTAGTGGGGGGGGTCTTTGTTTTTTAATTCATTGTTTTCCTAAAATAAATGTGTTCTTAAACGTAATTACCTTCGTGAGAGCCATGGAATTTCAGAACAGGCTTTCCATTCTCTGAATCTGGCACACTAACATGGGTGTGTTTGGTCAAGAGTTCTCTGGTCTCCGCCATCTGCTCCTCTGTGTGTGTAAACGATGACGCCATCAGCAACACCAACACAGCAAGCATTTTGTTTTAATCAGATAAATGTCTTTGGTTATTTAATTAGGTTTATTATTGTCTTTTTAGTGAAATTTGACGTGCTGTTCGTCTTTGACCTTAAACAAATTATACAACTATGTAGAAAAACCTGGTAAGAAATTGCTTCCCTAATGACCTTTTTTTTTATATCATTTTAAGTTGTTAACTTTTTTAAAATGGAAATTAAACATTTAACAACTGTATAAATGTTAACTTAACTTAACATGAACACTTTATTTAACATTTACATGAACACTTTATAAATGTGAACTTAACATTTGCATGAAATCTTTATAAATATGAACTTAACACTTACATGAACACTTTATATATGTGACTAAACTGATGAAGAGTTTGATATAAATTCACCTTTTAAATTTTTTTTACTTGTGTTACTTTGCATTTTTTTTTGCGGGCTGGGGGGGGGGAGAGATTTAAGGACCGTTCTCAGTGGTGGATGTCTAGCAAGAAATTTACAAACTAAGAATTTTTCTTTAAATAATATATGTTATTATGATCATGAAAGCATTTAGCGCATGTCACCTCGAAAGAATTTAGTTTCATTTCTTTTGAATTCCAAACTCTTCCTTTGAAATATTCCAATTCATGGCCTTTGCTGGTTATTGCATATTGTCATTGACACAAAACTTTCTACATCGCATTGTGAAGCTTGAAGTTTCCGGGGAGAGTATTATGTCCATCCACCTTGTTTCCATCGTCTTATTTCGTTGCTCATTTTCTCATGTTCTTATATTTTATCGTAACAC